ATTTTTATTCTTTCTTTTTTTGAAAGAAATTAAAACTTTTATTCAACAAGGATGTGTTAAATTGATAAGAAGTGATAGCAAAGATTTATATAGATTAATATTTTGAATAAATGCTGTTCTTTTTAACTTTTTATTCATCAGAGATACCTGAAAAAAGTATAGCAGTTTCCCAAAAAAATATTTGGCAGTACAACTGTTGCCAACATTGGACTTCTTGTTGCCATTTTCTCCCTGGAAGAAGAGATGTTGTATGTCAGTGGGATGTTTTCCTGGATAAATAAAGGAGTAATAATAATAATAATTACAATTAATGGCAAAATGTAAGTTTGGACATAACTTATTTTTTCTATTGGCAGACTAATGCAAAAGATATAAATAACTAAATAAAAAATGTAACATGTCTATGATTTGTGCACACTTCTGTACATATTTAAACAGGTATATTCTGTCTATCTTTAGGCTCATTATAGGTGCCAGCACAATGTTTATGTCCGATCAGACACGGCTAATCAAAGACGGCTGTCAAAAAATACATGCTGTGAGGCAAAACTGGTTTGCACTCTGGTGAAGTCTACAGACAAAAGGGGAGGAACTAATAGGTGAGTTAGAAATCTCAAGATGGGATAAAATAAGTGCTTTTGTGTGATTTGTTTTTATTTTTCAGGAGCAATGATCCCCATATACCCACTTACCCAACTTCTGTCCGTTTGTACAATGTACATAATCATAACATCTTTGTTGCGGAGGCACTGAGGCACAAGGATGTAGGGGTCAAGGTAATTGAAACCCTGACTCAGTTGTTTGAGGTTGGGCACAGCCCAACCTCAGCTCTGGCTGTACTTAAAAGATATTAAAATAGAAACCATTATTTTATATTGTAATAACATTTTGTAAGATTACTGGTTTTTTTCTGTATTTGATGAGCATAAGAGACTTCTTTAAAAAAACATTACAAGTCTTACTGATCCCAAACTTTTCAACGGTAGTGTATATACACACACTACTGAGCAAAAGTCTTTGAAATCTCAAGATGGGATAAAATAAGTGCTTTTGTGTGATTTGTTTTTATTTTTCAGGAGCAATGATCCCCATATACCCACTTACCCAACTTCTGTCCGTTTGTACAATGTACATAATCATAACATCTTTGTTGCGGAGGCACTGACGCACAAGTATGTAGGGGTCAAGGTAATTGAAACCCTGACTCAGTTGTTTGAAGTTGGGCACAGCCCAACCTCAGCTCTGGCTGTACTTAAAAGTGACCTGTAAAAAATGGTTTTAAGCCAGTTATTTCTATCTTTTGCTGTAGTGTGTCAGTAGGAAATATCAGTTCACATTTCCAAACAATCATCTAGCCATTAATTGTAATAATGCAGTGAGATTTTTGTGCTCCAAACAGAGATCTGATCTGATCATAATCAGTCTGTCTGGAGTCACATGAAGAAACAGAACAAACAGAGACAGACTCAATCCAGAAGAACTGTGTCTTCAAGATGCTTTAAAAAACCTACCTGCAAAACTACAGTGCTGTTAAAAGTCTTTGGCACTTGTGTAAAAATGCTGTAAAGTGAGGATGCTTTCAAAAATATTGTGATAAATAGATTTTCTTTATCACTGAACTTCTATTAACTTAATCAAATCAACATTTAGTGTGAGCACCCTTTGCATTTAAAACAGCTTCTGTCCTCGGTGCACTTGCACATCGCTTTTCACGTAGCTTTGCAGAAAGGTTTCTTAAAGCATCTTGAAGACACTTCTTCTGCATTGAGTCTGTCTCAGTTTGTTCTGTTTCTTCATGTCATTCCAGACAGACTGATGATGATTAGATCAGATCTCTTTGTGGAGCATGTTAATTCTTTGTCGTCTAATTTTTTATCTTAAAATCAATTTTATAGACCATCCTTTTTCAGTTTTATAACATGTGAATATATCCCCTATTGGGCAAAATGAATGTTTGGAAATGTAAACTGATATTTCCTACTGACACACTACAGCAAAAAAACGTAATAACTCGCTTAAAACCATTTTTTGTTGGTGAAAATACTAGTGGTCTAAGACT